AACTGTTTTTTTTAACCAATGGATTTGAACCCGATACTTCTATTTTAGGACTCATAGTATATTTGGATTTGGGGGGGGGCTTTGGTTTCGAACCCGGTACTTCTTAGACTTAATTCCCCCAATACCACTTTTTCACGCCTGGATTTCGCACACACGAATTTGCAGATGTTTTCAACTGTATATTGGACCAATTCGAAAATTACGGATGTTTTTATAATAGAGGTGGATTAAGAGTTTGATACCAAGGTCAGTCTACAAACGACAATATAGGGTATTGGCGTCGAGACGTCATGTGTCAATAGTGACGCTGTATCCCGGGTTGCATTCATAGACTCAAATAAAAAAAAACGTACAAGGACAACGATAATGTAACTTTGTCTCAATCACTATAGCTTATAGTTGGCTCGAGATCGTTTTTTTACAAAAGACATTGTGGCATGTCGTCTTCCTCAACGAGAGATTTGTCGGACACCTACGACGATCACTTTCTACTTCTTACTTTTTTATTGTCACCATCGTTGTCGTTCGAAATGGCGCCTTCCCTCAATACATTTCGCTTGTTGGGCAACCCCCCTCTACTACTTACTATTTCATCATGTCGCTTGTTCCTTCGCAGTTGTCAACCCTTCGCTGCCCCTCCTCACTTCCTCTTTCACGAACCCTTCCTCCACCACTACATTTTTTTCCCCTCATTCTCTCGTTGTCGAGCGCACGATCCCCTCATTAGGGGACCTTCCCGTTCACGTCACGTAGGGTTCGGCACGTCGCATACCAATAAGGAGCGTCGCCACTCTGGTCGAGTGCGCTAGCTATACCTCTCATGGGTTCTTACGATAGGATAGGGTCCCGCGAGGTACAACTTACCTTCACTCACGGGAGTTGTCACCATCCCTTGGGTGGGTGTATCCCCGTCGAGCTACCAACCCACAGTACGAAAGTTTTTACATGCAATCGCAGAGGTGGACCAATCGATGATGTTTTCTCACAAGTTGTAGCAAAGGGGGTACACGTGGTGCCTCATCGAACCCGCACACGAGCCGACGCTTGGGGCACTGATCTCCCACTGGCAACCGCGACCCGTCGGTCGTCTAGGACATCACAACTACCACACATTTCACTCTTACAAATATAATCTTTAAACATGATTTCTCTATGCCTAGTCCGCTTGCAAATATTAAAACTCATAACTTATATTTCACGCGAATAGACTGAGGCTCGCATGAAAATGTACAAAAATAATCGGCATCATAAGCGAAATCATCATAACACTCAGTCATACGAAATCACATTATCAGTCGTCATGGCGACCCATTATGGGAAACCTATAAATGTGCGACCCTTTACGGAAATCGGGGTTGTGCATGACGGTTAAGTGTCGAACACAAAGTGTCGTGAAGGACATCTCTTTCACGATATTGAACGGCGGGAGGATAAGTCGTTCAACCCTCGTAGTGTCTCTGGTCTTGAGGCAATGCGCAATGCGTTAGTGTCCATCATATAATGAGAACCCTTATGTGTTGGACAAAATCTGGAATGTCCTGGACAAGGACCTCAAATTTAAGTTTCAGGACCAACGTTCATCTAGACAAACAAACAAACAAGATCCTTACAACAAGATAGTTATAGACGAAAGGGGGTGTAGAAAGATAGAGGATAAATCAGGTTAGGATTGTGCGGCATCATGTTGCCTTTCTCACAGTCACCATGCGGTGCTCGTCCATTGCCCTCGACAAGCATCCAACCACAACATCCCAGAAATCGTATCAAACTCTTAACAACTGACTTGCATAAAACATATACACATGCAGACGAAACTACATCGTAATACACTGAACGGGATCAACCTTGTATCTCATGTCCCCTTAACTCACACCGGA